TGTATGAAGAATCGGCCAAATCGAATCGGCGTAGTGTGCGTACTCCCATACATGCCCATACTGATCAACTGCCCGACTAAACTATCGGCCGACGAAAAATCAACAGTGTGCGCCTACTCTAAAATAAAGTGGATGATGATACAGCATTAGAATCTCGCAAGTGGACCGCCTAAATTAGGTAAATTGGAATTGGCTGCCTGCTGCTGTCTTTCCTGAACACTTTATTCCGGGCCTTTTCAAGGATAAGCTAGGCTAAGGATTTTCCTCTCGTTTTATCCCTATTTTGTAATTTTTTTGACTACATACCTACTTAAACTTTTTTTTCGGGAACTCGAGACTCGAAATAACCAATCCGACCGACAACGGTGGGCTAAACTATCGCCTTACAAATTGGAAAAATAATCTACAAACGCGACAACCCTATCCCGTATTACCGTAGCATGTGTCGCGGAACTCAAATATCTTTAATACAATGTATTTTATAGACCCTCTGTTTACGCTTACTTATACTTTTGCCCGGCATCGATTGGAAAAATCCTTTCTCTACGTCATGTTTTCCGTGACTTCTGAGTTCTGAGCTACTACGAAATTAACGATATTTGTGATACTACAAATCAGTCGAAGCAGGTAGTACTTATCACGATTTTTCAAAGGGATGATTATCTAGTTTATACAGGGTGTTAGGTAAATGGGTATATGAGCCGACACTAGCCCATGTTAACATGGTCATATAAATGGTATGGTGAAGTCAGAAAATTGATATCTTCATTTTAATTATTTTAATTTTCATACAAATCGGATTTTATAAAATTTATTCTCATTTCATAAAATTTATAAAATTTACTCCTCCCACACAGGAGCTGTGGTGGGGGAAATGTGGGGACACTGGTTCTCGTTGTAGTTACGCGCGACTTCATATCTATTCTCTTTCTATGATCTGAGTGGTAATCATTGGGGGATGCTGATGATGATGATGACTAAATGTTTTTTTAATTTAACTTATATAGATTCTCCCGCTCAGCTCACCCTGTATTGAAGTTCACTTAACATGTGTACGCGTATGAAACGGATGACTTTACGGCGTAATCTCCGGGACGGAGCGCGTCGCACGATCTCGCTTATCTCGGATTAAAACGCATAAACGCGCTAATCCAGACTTACACCCTGTATACATACGACTTTTCGATACACTGAAGCAAATGGGGCAACATCTTCTCAAAATGTTAAGACTGAATCGCAGAAATTGATTCGTCACGCGACGTTACTTGAACTCATCTTCGTACAGTTTGCCAGTAAAGGAACTAAAGATCCGATTTGAAAAAATATTATTTTTGTGTTGAATAGCCCATTTATCGAGGAAGGCTTCTACAGCCAATAGGGGCAGATCTCTTTCTTTTCAAAAATAAAGGAATGTTTTCATGAGTAAAATTTTCTATCTACAGTACTTATTAAGAGTACTTTCCCTCCAGGTGGCATTACAAAATTCCACCCTGTACCTATATTTAGATCTCTACTACGATGTTGCACCAAAAAAGAATTATTTAAACTTAAACATCGTCATAATTTCACCCACAGGACGTCCACTGGTGAACATGGACCTCTCCTCTAATGATTTCTTGATATACCTTTCAATAAATATTCATTAATTCATCATTATCATTTCAGCCATAGGACGTCCACAGCTGAACATAAGCCTCCTCCAATGCTTTCCATGTTGCCCGATTGGTAGCGGCCTGCTTCCAGCGCCTTCCTGCTACCTTTATGATGTCGTCGGTCCACCATTTATTAATTGCAACTTACTATTCAGTCAAGGGCCAAGATAAGTTGCAATTCGAAAGGTCGCTAAAAGGGTCATTATCTTTACGTTCGAGGGTGCCATTACCATGACAAAGGTTCCGTATACTGGTGCCGGCGGTTCTCAATCTTATAGGATTTGAAATACTGGATACGTTCTGCGGCCTGAGGTCAGTCAGGGCCCCGATTGCGCTTATTTGTAATGTCTCAAATTCATTCGCACTTCATCTCCAGTCGCGCTCCATTTTCATTCCAGCCAATGTGCAATTTGGTATGGTAAAATTATCGTTAAAAGTCCCTATTATAGTAAAATTCATTATTTTTCCTAAACATAGACGTTGGTGAAGCGTTTGAGATAAAGTTGCTTTCTGCCAGCTTTTACCTACTTAGAGGCCCAGTTCCTGAAGCAGAAAGGTAAAAGGAGCGCGTTTACCTTTGAACTTCGTTCAGTTTCGTTTGAACTAGCTGTTTTAAAACGACACGCATTTGTCAAACAGCCGATTATCGTTCGTTTTCCGGTTGCGTAAAAGTTTTCAACACAACCGGACGCTGACCTGTGCCAGGGCCCAGGTCAAAGTGAACGCAGCCCGCAACACTTACCACAATCGTCCATTGGCGTGACCGAATCGAAATCTGAGGAACCCGCGTTCATTTCGATTCGGTCAGTCAGTATGACACAGATCACCATTGGGCTTATTGTCTTTCCCTAGGCTGCACCATCTTAAACGTCAAAAGTATTTCAAACAAAAAAACTCAGCCCTAGGGATGTACAATTATTACTTACTCTTACTTCAAAAATATGGTTATGCTGTTTTTATTTTTTAAGTTCACATGTATTTTGCTTCCTTAAAAAAGAAAAAATAAAAGTTAGGGAGCCACTGTACTATGATAATGAGCAGCAATAATGTTACGGATTTTTTTTAAATACACTCAGTTCGTTTTGACGATAGTGACTGAGTTTCTTGCGCTGCTTCTTCTTAGCACTGGCCCATTTATTGTCTGGAAGCAGTGGTAGGGTTAACTGGGACATGTAAAAATTCTTTTTTAAAAAAAGCTTACTTGAAAAAATAAAATGAGATATGAGTTCACGCTCCTTGATTGAAGGAACATGTTTTTAAAAGGAACTAGACAGACTTTTTGCTAAAATTTTACACAGATAGGTACATCGAATATAACTATTATTATTTTAATCCAATTAACATATAAAAACTTAACATAAACGAAACTAATAACATAAAAATACCATCGTACTAACAAAAAGTTCTACACAACACTCGATTGTAATTACATTTTGGAACGAACGAACTGTGTCTCTCAAAGTCGGCTCGTAGTCGTTTACATGACAAAGCTACGCGGAAAGCTGTTAGACGATGATTATCTGTGGTCAAACACAACCACCGGTCGTCTTGTAAGAAAAAAATTGAATAAAAAAACTCAACTTTTGACATTAGAAGTGTCATCAAAACGTATTTATATGACACACTGAATAATTGTCCCACCAAACTCACTGACAGGGGGGCGCCACCATCGATCAACTATGTCGGTCCTAACATCAATTAACTAGGCCGAAATAGCGAAAAAAAATATTTTTTTCGCTCGATATTTTGGAAACGAAGATAAAAATTTGAGAAAACCTCCTCTGGACAATTTAATCAGCTACAATTTGAGCCTAAAACAAAGTCGATCGGGCTAAGGGTTTTTAAGAACTTATCGTAAAGTGAAATACCGGTGAGTTTGTTCCCCTTAGTATACTGACTGGGTGGGTTTAATGGCGCGGCCAAGTTTATGTGGAGCACGGTTTAATGTCGTGGAATACTGTTTAACGCAGACATTCGAGTCGCGTAATGAGTTCCAATCACAGGCCAAAGGGGAACACTGCTTATTATAATTTGATGGGACAGGGTTAGATACGACCTAAATCTCTACCTACAGGTTCGTCCAGACTAGATTTTTTTTAGAAAATTGGATTAGGTAAAGCACGGCAAAGAAAAAAATCGCTTATCATCCAATTACAACTTATGTTTTTTTTTTAATACTTATACCTACATATTTTAAAACAAGGAAATATTTCCTTTTTATTTTCTAATGCTATTTTGAGTTTTATAATGCAACTTAGGTACTCTCTCAAAAAACAATACCAGACTGATATATGCAGCAAGATTACTCTAGAATAGTGACTTGGTGAAATCCTTGGGGGAGGCCTTTGTCCAGCAGTGGACGTCTTTCGGCTGAAACGAACGAACGATGAAATCTACGGATTTTGTTAGAGAATGCTCTACTATGGCATTAAGTTCGCCTTTTGTACTGCATTTTTTTTTGTGTGCCTTATTCCTTTAAAATAACAACCACTGAATAATGAACAGACAATACAACTTTTAAAATGTTGACAATAGCAGTTAATTATAATTGGCAATTAATTCACAATCTAAACAACCGATAATCCGTTAATAGCCTTCAGCAAAACAATAATTAGATCGCAGAGGATTCCACCAAATCCTATTTTATCCGCACAATCCAAATTTATGCACCAAATTGAATTATTTTCGGGCAAAAACGAGCACGGATCTACGAAATGGGATCTGAGATAAGCCTAATTACGTCAAAAATGCCAAGATTATACGTGAAAATAAACAATTAATAAATAAATAAAGACGTTAATTGCATCAAATAACTATTCCGAATAAGATAGGTTATTGACGTTATTGTACACCACACAAGACGAGAAAATAAAAAGAAAGAAATATATAAAAAAGACTTTAGGCCGTCTTATCGCGATCTCTTCCAGGGGATAAACCTAGAACTTAGGGGATAGTTGCTTAAGGGTTTTTTTTTTAAGTCTTTGTCTGGAATATAAATAAAACTGTCTCATGAATGTAGGATAATATCACAAATTCAATACCTACAATTAATTTGAGTTTTCTTCCTGAGAACTGAACCGGAAACCTCTATTAACTCATCGTTTCACCGTTCTTCTCCAATTAAACTTTTTTTTTAATTTTAAACCTTCAGTAAAGACTAGGTATGTAGCTACATTATTAATTAAGATTTCTTTAAATGTTAGTTAATTATCACTTAGCTAATTATTCATTTAATTCAAGAAATCTAATTCTGAGTGCGCAGCCCTTGGCCGACCGCATTAATTAAGGTTGTCTTACATAGTATACAACAAGTTGATTACGCATTCCACGTTAAGTCAAACCACTCACGCATGCGAAAACGCAACACCGGCGATTCGTCCACGAAAAAATGATAGTCCTCTTTAATAATATCAGCGCCTTTTTCACCCACCATCATTGCAGGTGCATTAGTATTGCCACCCGGTATCGTGGGCATTACAGAAGCGTCTATCACCCGCAGCCGAGAAACTCCATGGACTTTGAGCCTCTCATCCACAACCCCATCAGGCCCCATAGCACAGGTGCCCACCGGATGCTGTAAAGACCCTACCGTATTCACAACATAACAATGCCAATATTCACCATCTTCCAGTTTCGCTTTATCGCACCCGGGCACGTCTAACTTTTCCAAAGTCGCCTGAACATGTCTGTAGTAAGATGTCTTAGTCAATTTTTGCATAAATTTCACCCCTTTTTTAAGCACGCGGACATCTTCCTTGCTTCTCAAGAAACCGCTCTCTATGACAGGATCGTCCAAAGGATTTTTACTTTTGATTGTGACTCGACCTCGGGATTCTGGATGCAGTAGAATTAAAAAAGTCCAGTCTATAGCTCCACCGAAGTTGGCTCGAGCTATCGAAGCACAGAATGATCTCTTATAGCCCAAGGACTCGCAGGTCAGCTGAATCACAGGCGAACCAAACGCACCAATATGGCTGTTGAATGTTTGCAGCTGCCGATATGGTCCATTGTCCACATTGATAAATCCATTCTGTGTCGGTACCGGAACAGAATTTAGTTCCCTAGAAGAAATTAAATGTTGCACGACCGTCCCCAAACCTCTCTTGCCAGTAAATATAAGAGGCACAAACTGATGATCTTGTAGATTTCTACCGACTGGTAGATCAACTATAGATTCTATCGCATGTTTTTCTAATTCTTCTCTGGGGCCGACTCCAGATAACATTAGCAATTTCGGTGTATCAATCGCCCCGGCTGATAAAATTACTTCTTTATTGGCAAACACATTGACTAGTCTGCCTGTCTTAGTAAGCAACTTTACACCGTAAGCAGTCAATGTGTAAGGGTCTATTAAAACTTTTAGCGCTCTAGTATATTTTGCTATAGATAAATTAGGTCTATCTTTGGTTGGTTTCAGATAGCATTCGGCTGTGCTGGACCTCCTGCCATCAGCGAACGTGAAATGAGGTAAAGACACGCCTAAAGATTCTAAGCCATTCATTTCCAGTGTTCTTTTTAGGCCCATTTCTTCGTATGCTTGTAAAATAATTTCGTTCACAGTCCTGAAGTATTCGTTAAATGCTGGTTTCGATATTTTGACTGCACCTTCAGTTGAATGAAGGTGTGAATTGTGGGGGCTGTTCATGACTGTTGAGTCGGTCATATTTTCTAGTTTCTTGAAGTACTTCAAGGTTGAGTGCCAGTCCCAGCCCGGGGCTACCTGCTCCCAGCTGTCGTAGTCTCTGGGCTCCCCCCTGGCATACAACTCGTAGTTGATGGCTGAGGAGCCCCCGAGCATCTTCCCCCGAAGCAGGTTGACCGCCTGCCTCGTGTGTGCTCTCCCGACATCTCTGTCTAACTTCATACTGTAGTCCCAGTCGTATTCGGTGTGTGATAGAGTCGTGAAAAAACTGGGCACCTGAAAGTTATTCACAGTAACTGTACCTTAAATAAATAAATAAAATAAAAACTCCTTGGACAATTTTATAGTGTGCCATCTAATCTCAAACAAACCAAGCTTGTGGGTACATAGTTACAAATAAACAAAATATATTTTTATTATCCATAATGGCATTGTTTTGCGTAATAATTGCATGCACTAATAATGATAAGATAATTAAACTATTACTATAATAATTGTAACGGACAATTTTTAAATTGTTAAACCTATTAGGTAAGTAACGCGTATGCAATTGAAAAATAATGCCCAAATGTCATTTAGCTGCCTATTAGTTTGAGTTTGAGGACGGCAGACTGTTTAACTTGATGTAAGTACAGTCAGCGTCAAATAGTTTGTGACACTAATGCCCGTTTTCACCATCAATCCCTAATTTTTAAGTGACCCCTAAGTAAACAAAATTCCTGTTATTTGTTACAGGCACTATTAAACTGCCAAAAAGTTGGCAATACAACCTTATTCTTATTCCTATTGTAACAAAGAGGTGTTGCGAACTTTTTGGCTACTTTGGGTGTCACGAACTATTTGACTAGTCACTTGGGCCCTTACCACGCTAGCGAGGGGCGGGTCGCCCCCAGCCTCAACCAGTAGGACCCTGAGGTGGGGTGCCTCACTGAGTCGCGCGGCCACCACCGCTCCTGCCGACCCTGAGCCCACCACCACGAAGTCAAAAGTCTCTCCATCTGAAATATCAAACAAATAACTATTACGGAGAACTGACGGCCGATGGAGCAGCAAGGTTCTGGAATGGAGGCCGCGTACCGGAAAACGCAGCGTGTGACGTCCACCTACAAGGTGGACCGACGACATCGTAAAGGTAGCAGGGAAGCGCTGCACGCAGGCCGCTACCAATCGATCAACGTGGAAAGCATTGGGGGAGGCCTATGTTCAGCAGTGGACGTCCTATGCAGTAGCGGCGTAAGGGGGGGGGCGGTGGGGGCGGTCCGCCCCGGGTGCCAGGCATCAGGGGGTGACAAAAGTCGCGCAGATTAGTACTCACTGGCGCATCTGCGTCGGTAACCCAAAAATCCTTGGGGGCACCAGACGGACCAGACCTGACCATTCTGGGGTGCCATAGCCCCGAGCTATATATGGAGGGGGGGGGGGGGGATGACCGCCCCGGGTGCCAAGCCATGCTACGCCGCCACTGGGCCTATGGCTGAAATGATGATGAACTATTACCAAATAGTACGAGACCTCATATACTACGTACGAGGAGATAATTTGGTACGATAATTTGTTTCCTTGTTATTGTTTTTATAGTCTACTAGCTTTCCGCCCGCGGCTTCGCCCGCGTGGAATTTTGTCTGTCACAGAAAAACTTTATCGCGCGCGTCCCTGTTTCAAAAACCGGGATAAAAACTATCCTATGTTCTTTCCCGGGACTCAAACTATCTCTATGCCAAATTTCATCAAAATCGGTTGCGAGGTTTAAGCGGGAAAGCGTAACAGACAGACAGACAGACAGACAGACAGACAGATGTTGTAGCAGAGCGTAGTTGAGTGTTATTTTGCAGTAGAAGAATACACCATGGATAGCTCTTATTATTTCCTGACACAAGTGACAATTAACCAAACATTGTTTCCATAGCAACTTGAAACTTTACTTATAACGCCGCTTTGCTTGCCAGCTACATTAATAGTTATTCCTCATAAATCTACGTACTATATATTTTAAAAACATTACTTACTAGTGGGTGTTGAGAACGTTTGATTGATTTCTGAGAAAGTTCTTTCATTCTTTGGGTCTTTAAATTATTCCAGCAGCTTTTCAGTTGATGTGAGAGCCTTTGTGAAACATAAAATATGGTTG